ATATACCCCAAACCCTATTCTAGTTAGTTCTACTTCTTAAGGCCCCTACACTGTTGAGGATTTAAGGTTTGGGGGTTTGGGGTTTAAGGCTTGGGGTTTCAGGGGTTAGCGGTGCCCTGGGCCTCCGGGGCTCGGAAGACTACAGTACCAAAACCCATAGGCCCCATCGTGGTTCCTTTTGGGGGTTCATATTCAGAACCCTAGAAGGACATCCCAAAAAGGAACTACTATGGGGCCCCACGACTTGGGCAAAAAAACGCTACGCCACATGCACCAGGGACGTGCAAACCCACGATACGCGCAGGAGGACACCGCCGAAGTAAGAAGAAGAAAATTGAGAGAGGACCCTAACCGAAAGGATATCAACTCCAAACCCGGAAACCCCAAACCGCTGAAACTCTAAACCCTACCACCTGCTTAGGGATCCTTCTTATGATTTCTTTATATAAGTCCTTGAAAAGGTACGTTTTTTGGGGGGCTTAAGGTAGGCTCTAACCCCGATAAACCAAGCCGAGGGACGCTGAAGGAAAGATGGCGAAGGTCCACGAAGGCATCCTCGCCGGAGATGACGTCAGGGCTTTGGGTCTGGGTAATGGGTTCAGGGTTCAGGGTTTAGGGTTCAGGGATTTAGGGTTTAGGGTTTAGGGTTCAGGGTTTAGGGTTCAGGGAGGGTTTCGGGTTTAGGGTTCAGGGATTTAGAGGTGCTTCAAGCCTCTAGGTTTACCCTAAGACCGCAAATAGCCTCAACTAAGTTCCACTCATGGGCTTTGAACCCCAAAGTGGGGGTTACTCTTTGTATACGTGGAGTCTTGGGGTTAGGGCTTAGGGCCTACCCTAAACCCTAAACCCTAAACCCTAAACCCTACACCCTAAACCCTAAACCCCAAACCCTAAAACCTAAACCCTAAACCCAAAGCCCTATACCCTAAATCCGAAAACCCAAGCCCTAAACCCTAAACCCTAAACCCTAAACCCTAAATCCTAAAAGGCTCAGGGCTTAGTCAGGGCTTCGACTCAGGGCTAGGACTGCAGGGTTCCATCCCGCTGAAGGGTTTAGGGTTTAGGGTTTAGGGTTTAGGGTTTAGGGTTTAGGGTTTAGGGTTTAGGGTTTAGTTTCAAAGCCCTAAACCCTAAATGAAAACCCTAAACCGTGTGTAGGGTTTCAGGGTTTTTAGCGACTTGGGGCTTCGCTGGCAAGGCAGAGTCGACGCTTCTTTGGTGTGCGTCGGCAAGTTGAGGACCCAAAACACGGTTTAGGATTTAGGGTTTAAAGGGTTTAGGGCCTATACTTAGGGCCTATACTATGACATCTCTAATACCATGTCTACCTGTATCCTGAACCAGGGAGCCCCTTAAAACCCCAAACCCAAAGCCCTGAACCCATAACCCAAAGCCCTACACGCAGAACCCTAAAACCCTAAACCCTAAACCCCAAACCCTAAACCCTAAACCCTAAACCCTCGCTTGCAGTCCTCTTTGGCGGCCGCCTTGGAGCATGGCAGTGCCGGCGCCTGATCTTGCCCTAAACCCTAAACCCTAAATCCTAAACCCTAAACTGCCCTAAACCCTACCAGCTCTCTCGACGGTTTAGGGTTTAGGGTTTAGGGCTCGAATTTCCATTTATGGGGTAAAACTATGTTAAGGAAGGAACCGAAAATCTAATCTGAAGCCGAAGACCGAAGAGCCCTCAGCCTAAAAAGCGTAAGCCTGGAATAGAGGGTTTAGGCTTTAGGGGTTCAGGGGTTTGGGTGTTTAGGGAACCCTAAACCCTAAACTGTAGCCCTTCAAACCCCGAAGCGGCCCGAAACCCTCCAAAAAGAAGGCAGTGCCTCGGCTGCGGCATCGGAGGCTTCCACGCCAAGGATTCCTTCCTGGCGCATTTAGGGTTTAGGACCCTAAACCCTAAACCCTAAAACTGCCTAAAACCCAAAGGCCCTCAACTATGATTGCATATAGGGCCCCTAAACCCTGAACCCTAAACCCTAAACCCTAAACCCTGAACCCTGAACCCGAAACCGTGTTTAGGGTTTTGGGTTTAAGGTTTGGGGTTTGGGGCTTCGGGCTGGCTCCCGCCTGTGGGGATCTCCAAACCCTGGGACAGCGTTCAAGGTTTCGAGTTGAAGAGTTTAGGGTTTAGGGTTTAGGGTCTTGGGTTTAGAGTTTAGGCTTTAGGGTTTAGGGTCTAGGGTTTAGAGTTTAGGGTTTAGGGTTTAGGGTCTAGGGTTTAAAGTTTAGGGTTTAGGGTTTATAGGGTCTTGGGTTTAGGATTTAGGGTTTGGGGTTTAGGGTTTATGATTTCGGGGTTTGGGATGTAGGGCTTCGGGTTTAGGGCTTAGTGTTTAAGGCCATGATCGTCGTGACAATATTATGTGATCTTAGTTGCTGAGTTCATCAGCCCAGAAAAGTGTATACTTTCAGTGTTATAGTAGGTAATATTATCCAAAAAAGTGTAAAGTGTATCCATTCAGCTACTGAGTGATTGGTAGCGGCGTCATGGAGATCACCACGACGGTTACCATCATGTCCTTCGTTCTGAAAGATCGCTCAGTGACCAAGGGCCACTACCGTCTTCACCATCTGCACAATCACCCCAAACCCTAAACCCTAGAACCAGTGGATGGACCACATGTGCAGCTGCTCCATGACTCCCCTAGACATCGCTAAAAAGCAAGTTTACGGTTCATGGTTTCGGGTCTGGGGTTATGAAGCCAGGTGCCAGCCTAAGCTACCATAGACCCTGGATAGTAGGATAATCAACATAAGGACCCCACCAAAGAAGCCCCCACTTATCCCCTTTACAAAACCCAAACAGCCCGCGAAACCCTGTAGAACCTTAGTTGCTGAGTTCATCAGCCCAGAAAAGTGTATACTTTCAGTTTTATAGTAGGTAATATTATCCCAAAAGTGTAAAGTGTATCCATTCAGCTACTGAGGAACCCAGAACCATATGCCCATACCCTGAACCGCCGAGTAAGCCCAGTATCCACACCGCAGCTGTCGGTGAACCAGCGGAGGAAGCCTAAGTTGAAGTTTCCGGAGTTCACGAATACCCTAAACCCTACACCCTAA